TCCCTGGATCTTCTTTTCCCCCCACCTCTTGCAAATGGGAGTTATGTTTCCCCTCTCCCAGTCAGAGGGAATTTCTCCAGACTGGTCATTGATATAGAGGGTGACACCCCCTCCTCTTCTGCCATGTCTGTCCTAGGAAAGAGCTTATACCCAACCATCCCCACACTCCAGTCATAGGACTCATCCCACCACTTCTCAGTGATACCAATAACATCATAGCCCTGCAGGCACACACACATCTGCAGTTCCTCCTGCTTATTCCCAGTGCTCCCTGCATTTGCACAGAAGCATTTAAGATGGTCCCTCTTCAAAGCAGTCATGCTGGTAGGGTTTGGAGGTCAGATGCTTTCCTGTTGGCCTGAAATCCTTCTGCAGGCCCAGGGCGTATGTTACTGGCTTTGTCCTCAAAGTGGTGGGTATGGGATGAGTTGAGGATCTCCTGCAGCTGCCCACGTAGGTTTCAGAAACAAGTATATTTAGGAGAAACTGCAGAAATGTATTGTGTCCTGATGTAGTAAACTCTAATTTGTGAAATGAGATGCTGCCCAACTTCTCCTACCACAATTCCCACCAGCAGGATCAGACATGCCCTTCTGTAATCAGTTTAATGGCTTACAGCTTGTGGCTGGAGAGATGGTAATTGACTAGCTGGGGCCGTTATCTCCCTGCAAATGCAAGGGAAAACCCCTTTCCCTAAAACTTGGGTGAAGGAAGTTTTATTTGGCATGTGTTAGCCCACACTCGCAAGGCTGGAGGCTGCATGTGCAGTCGGTTAGCACAGATCACTTGAAGTACAGTCGGCAGCTTTGTTAGGATTAATGGAGTTGCCTGAATGATGTGATGAAGCCTCTGTAGGCAAACTTCATTAGATCCACATCTGCAGATTGGAAACCCTCCCACCTTGTTTGGGGTTTGTTATCTCTAGTGATCACCATGAAAGGTGGAACAGCTGTGAGAGCTATTATTCAAGCTGATACACAATGATTGCAAAAAGAAGGTAGGATGTTTAGACAGTTCACATTAACAGATTTGTGAGAGGATCATTAGCTTAATGTTCCTCTAAGCTGTTAGGAGCAGGCGTGCATTGGAAGGAAGGGCATGAGTGAGACCACTGAGATCAGGGTTCATAGGAATATATTCTAGATTGTCACTGCAGTGCTCATCAGAGGAGGGACTGGGATTAGCAGGAGAGTGGAGCAGAAGAACTGCTTTCTCTGACAGACAGAGGTAATCTACAAGGGTGTCCTCAGAGGATCCATTATGTATTTCAGTAGTTTCCAAGAAAAAGTAATGTCATTTTACAGGAGAATGGTAACAGCTTCAGTTGTTTGTGAGGCACTTGGTACCAGGCTGGTCCTCAGTCTGGAGGAGGCTGATGCTGGAGGATTCTACCATCAGCAGAGACATCAGAGCACAGTGTGTGATGTCAGTGCCAGGTGCGTCAGTGCCTTGGGTCTGGCAGAGGTGCAGCTCTTTATGCCAGCAGTTATTCTGGGTTTGGTGACAAGCCAGTCTTGAGATCTTGGGTGAAGAATGGACTGAGAGCAGCCCGGAGAACTTGAGGGTGTTGTTGGATGAGAAGCTCAACGTGGGCTGGCAGTGTGGTCTTGCAGCCTAGAAAGCCAGCTGTGTCCTGGGCTGAATCAAAAGCGTGGCCAGTAGTTCAAGGAAGGTAATTCTGCCCCTCTACTCCACTCTGGTGACACCTGCAGTGTCCAGTTCTAGGGCCCCCAAAGCAAGAAGGACAGGGAGCTGTTGGAGCAAGTCCAGAAGAGGGACATGGAGGTGATCAGAGGGCTGGAGCACCTCTGCTATGAGGACAGGCTGGGAGAGTTGGGGTTGTTTGGTCTGGAGAGGAGAAGGCTCTGGGGAGACCTCATAGCAGCCTTCCAGAGCCTGAAGGGACTATGGGAAAGCTGGGGAGGGGCTTTTTACCAGAGTGTGTAGTGAGAGGAAAGAGGTAATGGATCAAAACTGGAAGAGGGGAAATTTAGGTTAGACATTAGGAGGAAATTCTTCCCTGTGAGGTTGGTGAGACACTGGAACAGGTTGCCAAGGGAGGTTGTGGCTGCCCCCTCCCTGGAAGTGTTCAAGGCCAGGTTGGATGGGGCTCTGAGGAACCTGACGTAGTGGGAGGTGTCCCTGCCCATGCAGGGGGGCTGGAACTAGATGGTCTTTAAGGTCCCTTCCAACCCAAACCATTTTAGGATTCTGTAATTCTATGAGATGGATGACAAGCCTTGTCTGCAGGGGCAAGAAGCAGCCAAGCATTAATGGAGCATCTCCTCTGAATGCCCTGGTCCTGGCAGGGACAGCTCTGCTGCTGTCATGGGGCTGATCTTCCACCGAAGGTCCTGGTTTAGCTGTTCTTCCTGACTCAGGGCCAGGATGAGGTGTTAGCAACTCCCAGAGCCTGAGCAGATCCATGGAGCAGCAGCAGCAGGGCCTGGAGAGGTGCTTTTTTGCCTGCCCCTGGTCCTAGTGAGGACTGCAGGGATTATTTGAGGGTAAAAAACCTTTCTTTGCTTTCAGCTCCATGTAGCAAGTCACACGTAGTGTGTGTGCTTCAGTGAGGCCGTGGAGATATGTGGAGACTCCATAATTAATGTCAGCAGCTTTCTCAGAGGAGGGGATAAACCCCAAGTCCTGAAAACTTCAATTCCCTTCTGGTGCTGAGGGCAGGGGAATAAGGGAGGTATTACTAGATGGCATTTCTTTTATTTAACAGATGTTAAATAACACTATATCAATCTGTCAATTACACTAATGGGAAACAGCGCATCAGAAAGCTGAGAGATGTGAATTGTACTGGGAAACAACCCCCCCACACCCCACAGGGGTCCCGGGTTTGGGGCTGGGGGCTGGGCACGGCCCCAGGAGACGGTGCGGAGCACAAGGAGCAGCCGCACATGTGCCAGGCATGTGTGGATAGGAAGGGGAAGGAATGGTTGTGGACCATCACCAGAAAGGACTTCTTGCAGCTGGACAGGTTCTCTCCCACCCTGTCCCGGTTGTGCTTGAAACAGGATGAAAAAACCTTGAAAGTAGAAACCATCTTTGTGGTTTTTACAGTGTATTTATCACACTGTAGGTTTTGGTGGCATTAATCAGCATTTCCAGAGTCTAGGTGGGTTGAACTCTGGAGGGGAAAAACAAGCCTCTAATAGATGATTAAAGGCTGCATAGCAAGGCTGGCTTTGCAGTAGTGTGCATGGGTCCCACATCAGACTCAGCACTGTGACGAGAGAGACTAGTGGGGTTTCTCTCTCAGACACTGTATTGCTTCCTTAAATTTGTCCTGGTTTTATTAATTTAGCTACTTGGAGCCCAAGGTTAAGTGATGGGAATTTCAAAACAAAACAATAAATTAATAAAATGAACGTGTCACCAGCTGATCCTCTTCTGACCACCATCTGTCCCCGATCATGTGATGTCTCCCAGCTGGCCACCCAAGAGACAAACCATGCAAGATCATCATCACAACATATGCTGCTATTTACACATTTTAAAAGGTAATAGTAGCTAGGCTGTCACATGAGTAGTTAAAAGTAGTTACTTGGAAGCTAGAGGATCTTTTCCTTTTTTTTTTTTTTTTTTTTTTAAATTTGTATGTATCAGGAAATTGCATCTTCCTTCTTTGGCTTAGTCACTTATCATAGGTAAAGCAAGAGAAGGTTTTCTTTTTTGAGGAAGCCAGTGACTCAGCAGGTGTTTCTGAAGACATGTTCAGGGTTGGAGCAGTGGAAGTCCCTGTGAATGTACAGGATATGATTCCTCCCCATCCCCCTTATTCTGTGGTGTGCTGTTGTGTCTTTTGTAATAAACAATAGAATAAATAAAACAGAAAGAAGACAACACCACTGCAAATTTTACTAGTGTACCTTTCAGGAACATGATGTGCTCTCTTTGCCATCCCCAGAATGCAAACCAAGCTGAGGATTTTTAAACTATTGTTAAGATCAAGGATGTGGTTATGAGAAGACTTACAATTTATAGGATACTTAAGCATTAAGGATTGAGGCAGAGAACATTTCCTGGGGATTAACGACTGGCTGGGTGAGCCTCAGGCCATTAACCCCTGCCTGTCATTAATCTTCAGGAAGTGCCCTGCAGTGAGGTCGTTATTGCTCTTATAGGCTGAATCAGAAAATAAGAAGAAAGGTCCGTGGTTTATTTATTTATATTTTACATAACACGGTTATATTGGGACTGTAGGACATTAATATCTTTCTCCTTAGCTGGCCGTGCTGCTTGGATGAATGCAGTTGCTGCACCTCACTGTTTCGTGGAAGAGTGTGAGCAGATGGCAGGAGTGTGAGCAGGGCAGGATCTGGCCCACTGCTGGTCTTGCACAGGGGTTCATGCGATGAATAAGCGGTGCTGGTACGACTGCTGGCAGAATTTAGCCCTGTATAGAAACCAGCTCGAAATGCTTGTTTTACAGCAAAGCAATTTATTCACAGTTCTAAGCATCTCACAGCCTTTTTTTTTTTTAACCCGTTGAATAATCCTTTTAGGTTCCCCATAAAGCAGGTGAAATGCTTCTGCTGCAGTCCTAAGGCAGAACACAGGCTGCATAAATAGCACCGAAATGACTAGGAATACAAAATACACACACAGTAATACATACCTACAAAGGCAAATTCATACTGACAGGACTGCAGTGTGTGCTTATCAGCAGCAAAACATCTCGGGGAAAAAAAGAAAAGTGGCTTTATATTGAAATTGTATATCCATTTCTCTCTATATTTAAACACTTAAATACTGTTTTGTGCATGTTCTTAAACCGAAATTCAGGCTCCTTTTTAATGAGCCTGCCTGCTTAAACATTTATTAGCTTAGAGATGTATAGTTTTCTTAAAGCTGGCTGAAGCTTTTTGCAGAATATCTTTGCAAAAAAGAGCTTTTTTTGTGTGTGTGTGTGTGTGTACGTGGCCTCAGTCCTTGCAGCCTCCTAGAGAGTCTGTCAAGGCGCAACTTAAAAGCTCGTTCAGGCGACCATGACCCCCTGCTAGCAGATTGTCTGCCTAAAAGGTAAGGGAAAGCTAAAAAAGAAGTAGAAACTTAAAAGTAGCTTCTCAAAGGCTGCATAGATCTTTTTTTTTTTTGTTAAACCTAAAGTGTTTAAAAGCTTTAATATTGATGGCCTGTCAACTTTGTCCTGATTCTTTGGCTTTCAGTTAAAAGGTTTTTGTTGTTGTAGCTTATGCAGTTGCTCTGTTGCTATGGAAACGTGACATCAAAATGACGTTTCTCTGTTTAAAAGCTTTTAACTAAATTCCTGCCTGTCAGATGTAGGCCCCATTTTGTGCACTCAAGCTTCAAGCTGTTGCAAAAAGGTTTCATATGTTCTGTTGTCATTCAAATTCTTTATCTACATATGCATGTCTTGCACTACAAAAAACCTAAACTAAAAACTCAATCTATATTAAGTGTCCTCTTTTAAAACCCTTTTAGGTCAGTCAGCAATGGCTGCAGCAGAAATTCCCAGTTACATTGTCTCTTCTCAGACTGAAAAACACAGGAGGGCCAGAAACTGGACTGATGCAGAAATGAGAGGTTTAATGCTGGTTTGGGAAGAATTTTTTGATGAGCTGAAACAAACTAAAAGGAATGCCAAAGTTTATGAGAAAATGGCTAACAAACTCTTTGAAATGACTGGAGAAATTCGCCACGGAGAGGAAATAAAGATAAAAATTACAAATATGACATTCCAGTACAGGTAAGCTTCAGTTAATTCTTTTTTATTTTAAGAGATTTTAGCAGGGACAACGCAGTGATTTTTGCCTTTCAGAAAGAAGTCTCCTAGAGGAAATCTGTCGATAAAAGATTGAAGATTGTTCATATCGCTTTTAAAATTCTCTCTTGCCAGTGCTGTTACGTCATTGTTAATTTCCCCCCCCCCATTTCGTGTCAAACTCTGGGACAACTTTGTTTCTTTATAATTAGCTAGCATTGTTACGGTGCTGAGGGATGGAAATTTGTTTAGTGGGAAAGGAGATTTATTTTTTTTCTCCCCCCTCTTTTGCTGAGGGGACTGATTGTGTTAGCTTGGCAGCAGCTCCTTGCAGGGAAACTCCTGCAGTTCCAAGTGGCCAGTGAGAATCTGTATTGCAAGGCAAAGTTTAAGGAAAAAACCACAACAGGATAATGTTTGGGGGGGGCTGGGGGGGAGGGTGTTGGGGGGGTAGGGGGCTGAAGCTCCTAGATTTTGGTTTTGTGAGTTGAAGGGTTACACTTCACGGGGCCAAGAATAATTGAATGTCTTATTACTGAGTGACACACATTGCTATAATTATAAGCAGAAGCAGCAGCGAAAGAACTGTTGTATCTGCAGAGTGGGAATCAATCGATGTGCACCGTCAATATGCTCCAAAGGAGTCGGGGGGAGGGTGTAGGTGGCTACAAGGGGATGATAAAGAGCAGGCAGTGTCAGTCAGGAGGGGAAGTTGGCTTAAGAAAATGTGAGGCGTTTGTGCATTTGTTGTTTGCAGGGAAAAAAAAATAAATTAGAACTTAACAGAAATATTTGCATATATAGATGATTTTATTTTTTTTAATTCTTATCTCTGTGAGGCAAAAACTGCCTCATACTGGAAATCCTGAGTGGTGATTTAGCTATGTGCTTGTAATGCAAGAAAATCAAATATGTGACTCTTTTATTTAATCTCTCCTCAAAGCTTGTATTAATAATAAAAAAGGTTATTACAGCAGGCAACCATGTTAAAACTGCTCCCTTCTCTGTAAGGCACCCTCACTGTATTTAGTGTAGAGACTACTACTCATGAAATAGAAAACTAGGGAAAATCCTGTAAACCCCTTAACTTTGAATGTCCTCCTACATTTGTATGATCCAGAAGCATAATCTTTATATAATTTCCTTTTAATATGAAACTTGGTGCTTTGTAGTAAATGCTAATGTCTCCAAAACGTTGTGCCAGTGCTGCTGCAAGCCTTGCAATTTCCTTCAGCCAGACTGTAGACGAGAGAGCCTGGAAGTAAGACAGTTTTTTTGCCCAGCATCTCCCGGCAGTTCACACTCGGATGCAGATTTAGAAGTCGGGAGTTGCTGACTCCCAGGCCTTTGCTTAGTCTGCTAATTCTGCAGTCCTCCCTGCTGCGAAAGACGTCTCAGCGGCACCGAGATTTTACAGGTGTCTAGCAGCACTGCACGGTATTTAAGTGCCGTAATTGCCAAGTGGAACGGGTTATTTCTGTCAGCCTTTGTTCTACATTTTCAGTGTTGCATCGATCCGACAGCCTCAGTTTTTTTCCAATTAATGTTTTTACTTTAAAGTTGCACTGGGGGAGGGGAAGCAATGAAATCTCTCAGGTACATACACTCTGTGTGTGTGTGAAACGCAGCACTTAAATATATTCTTCTATTTCTGTGAACTTATAAGAATGTTTCTGCTGCATGTTCTCATGCTGCTGTTCTATTTTGCAGTACATTGCAGCTCCCTGCTTATTGATTAAGATGCTAATTTAGGAGAGTTAGAAGCTGCCTTGCACAGTCACGGTGCTGTTTCATTTTGTACTCTAGAATGTGAAATGTATCTTCCAAACCCAAAGCACGCCTGTGTTCTTTGCCTTCAGGGCAAGCTGATAGAGAGAACAGGGACAAACAAAAGCTGTGGCTTACGGTTTTTAGTTTTCTGGGTACTTTTTGTTGGTGTGTGAGGGTAGGAAGTGTGATGAAGCTGTAAATGATGTGAGCTGCCACCAACTGCTGGCTTTGCAGTGAGGCAGCTGAGTTTTAATCCATGTTTTGGTGCCTGGAGGATACTTGAGGAAGATGCTTTATCTGGCTGGATTTCGGGGTGTCATCACTGCGCTGAAAAAGAAGACCCTGAGAGTGGGC